CCTAAATCAACAGAATTCTTACTGGGTTTTTTTCATCCGCTTTTTCCCAAAACTGACTAATAAATATGTAATACCCTATACTCAAGTCACTCAAATATAAATGGCTCAAAATTGTGTAAGCCCAAGGGCAGGGAACAAATTGTAAAAATAATGTATAGATATACTGTGTTATTTATTATGTATATAACAAATTTTATCAATAAAGATCTTATAAAGCTCAAAAAGCCTCGGGCCATACGTTCCTGTGCATCCAACATCTACAGTTCCAGCGAAGCAGCGACTACTCTACAACCAGCGAGCAAGGCTGGTAAACTATAGTGAAATACGGATAAGCTAGTGCGCAAGCTAGCTTACTCCCAACGAAAGTCAACTTCATACGGACCCTCTCAGATGTCAAGGACTTCTCCGGCTCTAACAGGCGCGCAAAGCCTGTCTATTGTCAACTCCAAGGAAGGATCATCTCTAACGTCTTCGCAACTAGAACAAAATCAGCTCTTGTCAGGGCTCTTGAAAAATACACAATAGTTCTTTTCAGAACTAAAACTAACTAGCTTTCTTTTGAGAGCGAGCGACCTTGAGTCGCCTAGCTGTACTTGTCATCTCGACAAAGCTCAAGTCACATCTCAACCAAAGGCCTTTCTCAAGGCCGCCAATTCATTCAATTACGTAAAAGCTCTTTCAGAGTTAAGGAAGTTCCAGTCTAGTCCTCTCGAGTAGATATCGAACAACATCCCTAGCCGAAAAGTCAATAGATTTCCATTAAATAACTATTAAGAACAGCTTGGTACTATTAGCGACGAAGTATAAAAGCTACGTTACGGAGCATTTTTTTGCAGAGCAAACGAATGCCGCGACAGAATAAGATGTCTTCTTCATCATCCTCTTCACCGTTTGCACCATCGAAAAATTCGGCGTTTTCGCCCTATAACCAGTACACCAACAAGTCGATTTGTATCGTGCCCAAAGAGTGGAAAGAATATTCCAAGAAAAATATGGACACTGTGCTGCAGAGCAAACTCACCAGTCATTGGAGCGACTACAAGAAAGTAGAAGGTGCTGTCGTCCAAATTGGCGATGTAGCTGCCAAGCTGGAGTATCATGACAATCGCATATGGATGAAACGTTACGGTGACCAGAGAAGCAAACCCCATCCTGGAGAATACGTCCTTACTCACGTCCAAAAATACGGCTCGCAGCAAAAGTAGAAGTATCACATTTGATTTGTAACATATTTTGTAAATAGGACTTAGGTAATAAATTATATTAAAAAATTATTTTTGTTTACTTTTGCCACCTTTGAAAAATAAATTAGAGATGAGTGTGACTTTTAGCGTTGGGTTACAAGCAATTACTTTAAAAAGCGTTCAGACGCATATGACTGACGTGTTCCACGTCTAAAACAATTTTAGTTACTGTTTGATTGACGACAATAGGTGATGACAGTTTACATTCAAAGTATCAATGTATGGTACCATCATTTCATAAATGAATTTGACCTCTTGGGATCGACGCATTAAATAGATTGTTACCTTACGTGGATTTCATAACAGAAATTTAAACGTACTTTAATTCACATTTATAAAAGGGGTTACCTTGAAGCACTAGAAAATAAATTAGCCGTCAATTTTCATCAATCTGATTTATTGGTTCAACGACTCCTGCGTAGATTCGGTCTCCATTGCATCTGGTTTTGACTTAACTGAACTGGTACTCCACGAACTGTACTTAGATGAACTGGAACTCGAAAAACTGGAGGTCGAGGAATTGTAGTTGTTTGATGTTGGAGATCCAGAAAAATTCGACCGGCGCTTGAAGAATGAATCTGCAGATACAACTCTATCCCATTTGCTAAGAGATATCTTCCGACGAGAACGATGAGAAGCTGCGACGATTTCAGAACTGTCAGATTGGTAGCCTGACATTTCTTCATCATTTTTATTGTTTGATTCTTCATTGGAACTTTCGTATGTGTCTTTTTGCTTTTTCTTAGGATGAAGGCCACCATCACTGTCTATTATGCTTAGATCCTCCATTTGGTTCCACGTCCGTTTGAAACATGTCTTTTTTCTCATTGGAGATGTCATAGTTTACATTAACTACACTTTTTTCGCAGTTATGCTCCGAATTAATTATGTATTATTAAAGAAACTTCATTTAAATAAATTTTAGACACGTCTTGCTTGACGAATGGTTTAGTTTATAATATATAGAGCGATGAATAATAAGGAAAATAACTCTTCGACCAATAAATACCGATTCCAACATGCTTATCGTACTGTAATTAGTTTCTAAAATAACATTGTTTTGAAGTGACCATTTGATAAGCGATTTCATTTGCAAACACAATAAGTTGACTTCATAATGAAACTTGATAGCCGTGTATAGTTCATAGTTTGTGGGAATATAAACACAAACATACAAACGAGTACAACGTTGATTTGTTTATTCATCTAGATTGGTCGTTTGGTCTCTTTTGTATCTCAGTGGGGTCTTTCGCTTTAGCAAGCTCAAAAAAGAAATATATAGCTCAAAAGAGTCTTTTTTTGTTCCAGAATTTGTTATTTCTTCTTTACGAAGGTTACTTTTGCTATCACTAATGTATAAGTAAGTTTCAATAGAGGTCACGATATTCTTTGTAGCGATAAATCTAGCCATGTTGCTTCTGTGATAAGAAAAACTATTGAAATATAAGTTTTATGATAGTGAAACAAATTTTATACTGTTTAGCAGAGGACATAATAATTTAATCTTGTCAATTTACGAACGAGAATTTTATTACCTTTATTGATCCCATGCACATAAATTATACTGACATTTAATTTATATGCTAAATCAACTTTACGACTTCGTGGAAAGGACTGTTCAAAACACTTTAATATTAAGTCGACAATTGTTCCTTCCTTACTTGCTGTCTGTTTTATGACCGATAAATTTGTGTTGAAAGCAATAAATATTTAATGAAAAAAAAAAATACTTTTAAGTACATAATGACACTGATAGCGTAATCTGGGTACGGTTTGTCGATAAGGTTATTGCCGCTGAGTACTTTTCGTCGGATGGTCGTTTTTTTTTTTTTTTTCGGTAATATTAATTTGTAAAGATATGTATCTACTATCCCTTCGAAATAAAAATAATGCAAATGGTGTTTACTTTTTACTTACATATTAGCGACTTTCTTACATACATTATTTTTGTCCTTTTGTGTAACTAATTTTACAAGTGTGTCTTATACCGCTTATACTTTCAAAATAGTGCAGGCACTGTTATTCTGGTTCAAGCCAAGATGTTTCAACTGAGTGCATGATTCATCTATGCATGATTCAAATCTATCCATCAAAATACTTCTGTGGTACAGTTAGTAAACAAACATTGAAAAGTTCCATTTCAATTTCGACCTAGTTTTCTAGCGATGTAGGTCTTTTATGACAAATTATAAAAATTGGCAACCCAGATGTATCTAAAAACGTACTGAACTTTGAAGTTTTCAATTATTACCATCATTCATATCTTTGACGCGAAATGAAAGAAAAATAAACATCCTTGCAATATGTTTTGACTGCTATGACTATTAAACTCTTAAATTTATGGTGTCTCTCTGCGTTTTGCCGGTAAACAAAAGACTATCTGTTTGACTTTGCTCACAATCCTATTTTCATCTAATCATACTTAAGTCAGATCAGCTGAGTTTATTGAAAATGATGAGACTGCTATTAAATCATAAAAATTATTGTTAGCCATTAATGTCACGCTAAGCGGACTGAATGTCCGCTGGTGATAAACAACAACAAACCTGACCTAGGGCAAGTGCCATTTTGGTGACTGGGTAACATACTCGGTATTTTTTCTGCTTTTGAGACTTTATAGCACTTACGAAATCTCCATCTGTGTAAACTGGTTTCTCAATAACTATTTTATGTGGCTGTGAATAGTCCATGACGCATACCGCTTATACGTTAGAAGTCGATTGATTTGACAGCTGGTATAAGTGATGTAAATTAGCGCCTATATAAAAGCACGAAATCGAGGCTGTGCACTGTTAAAGAAAAAACTCAGTGACATCAGTCGAACGAACTTATTAAAGTCCCGGAAAAACAGCTACAGAGGTTTTTCAATTACCAATTGAGCCTGATACAATGTCTTCATCGCTGGAAAAAACTGGTCTTTGTACCAGAAAGAAAGTTCACATCATCCCTACTGAGTGGGCTTCGTACCCGACGCAAACTCTAGATTGCATAGTATATTCTGGCGTTAAAGAACACTGAAATCGTTACAAAACAGTAAAGGGAGCTTGAATTACAATCGGTTAAGTGTCAGCTGAAGCGAAACTCTACAAAGGCTACGTTTGGATGCGTAAGGAGTCCGACCAGACTCGAAAACCATTTTCATCGGAGTATTCTGTAGCGTTGATTGATAATTATCCGTAACTCCTATCCTTTCCCGCTTCACAGCATTATTTATATTTGTTAAAAATGCTAACCGTAAGATGGACGGTGTGGCTTAATGTATATAGAATAAGTGAAAGGAAATTTAGTATAGACCGGATAGCTCAAATGGTAGAGTAGCCGACGTGTCTTCGGAAGGTTCTGGGTTCGAATCCCAGTCCGAGCTATCTAATAATTTTTTTTTTTCTCGCATATTCTATAAACTCACATTAAGAAGTTCCTCTCCACAATCCTTTCTCAATCCAATATCCTGTTACGTAAATGTTGGAACGCTTCACGTAATAAATATCCGTAACTCCTATTCTTTCCCGCTTCACAGCATTATTTATATTTGTTGAGTGCAAACATAAGTGAGATGTTGTTTTGTAAAGTCTCTAAATTGGTTCAATTGGATGTAATGGATATATCTTACTGTTGCATTGTGTGCGATTTGATGTATTTAAATAAAATAGCTCAACGACCTTGTTTTTCTTTCGCAACAGATTCGTTCTTGGGTAGTTTTTGACAGAAGATTTTTGAACTCCTAATCTTGGAGTTATCAAAAGTGATCAAGGGTAATGCATCTAAGCACGAATGATCGTAGCTTAGAGTGACTAATACACAATGAGTAAAGTTGTAAAACTTAAAGTTTTCACCAAAGCGGTCAAATTTTAGGGAAACGTCATTCAAGTGCATAAAAGGTGCTAACATTCGACGATGTAGATATTTACGCACCTAGGGAGGAAAGTAGAATATTCCAACCCACGTGTAAAATTGCCTCCCGATCCAAAATTTAAATTTTGTGCCACTGTTTTTGTGGGAAGGTTAGTGCATATGTCAAGCTGTTCATTTGTTGGGATATATTATTCTATAAGGTAAAAGTCGCTCTTTTTTTCCGTAAAACAGGGCAGAAAGTTTAAACTTTCAGCATAGATATGTCGAAAACTCATATTTATATATTAATACAAACCATAGTAGTATTTACCTCTCGAACTGATACTTACGACACGTCCAGCCGCTAATGTTTAGGTATGGATAATAAGATACAGATCTTTAAGTTAATGAAAAGCTACGTTTACTTTTTATTTTTACATAATTAGGTTTCAAGACAATTAAGCTAATAGCTAGTCTGCAATCCTGTTCAAAATAATTGCTTAGAATGAAGTGTGTAAAACCATCAACATCTGCTAATTATCGGCTCTACTTTAATTGGCAAAGCAATCGATATTTATGGAGGAAATTGTAAAGAAAAAAAACAAAAATTAGTGGATTATTTACTTACATACAATATGTAAAGAATCATTAAAATACAAAACACTACAAACATTATTAGTTTTAATATTTTGAATTTCCTCACTAGCACTAACACAATCACAACACTGAGTGGCTTGATGTTGATAAGCCAGTTTCGACCGTGAACTTAATTAGAGGCTTCAGAGATAGAAGTGGTGTCTGTCCCCCCAGACGTTAAACTGTCACTGCTGTCCGACATCTTGAGTTGCGCGAATATTAAAACCTTTTCCACCGTCTCCGTGCTAGAATCCTCCGCTTCATTTCCTGGATTTTTGAATTTAAAGACTTTCTGACGTAAAAAAGTTTGAGCGTGTTTGTAGAGCTAGTAGATGCGTGTGCAGAATCCTTAAATTCCGAGTCCTCAAGTTTTCGTTTACCGTCAGATCGTTCCGTACTTTTACTTATGCTTTCTTTCTTCACAGTAACGCCGTCAATTTTCTGGGAGTTTTTTATTGCACTAAATATAGTATGGAAATAGCTTTGTGCAACTATACCAAGGTGTTTTCTAAAAAATAATCCAAACAAAAGGTTATGATTGATGTTAATACCGACAATCAAATCACCAAGGTTAATGATGATTGGCATTTAGGTTCTTAACTGGTATTCATTTCTTGGACGCTATAAATGGTGTGTTCTGAGTTTTTTGGATAGTTCCATCTTTTCCTAGAGCAGGGTCCAAGGTCTTTAAATTGGACTTAGACGATTTCATCTCAACGAGCTGTAGTTCATTTTTTTCAGAGCGAATATTCGACCATGTAGAGGAACGGGTCAATGAATTTTTGGACTGTGGTGGTTTGCAGGAGCTAGCAGCACTTTGGTTAGTGCTAGATGATATTTTGTGAGACATAACTTCATCCATTTTTCTGGACATAGCGTTCAGGAGTTAAAAAAATGATTTATCTTGAATCTGAAAAGGTTCAACAGTTTACTTTCGATTAAAATCATACACGGACAAAAAGTGATGTAAAAATTGCTTCAGGTGACATAAAAACTGTATCACTGGTGATGTCAACTGAGGTGATTCTTAAGTTACACCACATAGTGATGCGAAATCTGTATCTAATGCATTTTTAAATGGAACTTATTTGACGGCTTCTATACGCTAACCTCGATTATAATAGACAATAAGCATGCGCAGATAGGAATTTTTAACTGGTATTCATATTAAACATTCTCTTTATTTTCAATGCAAAAAGTCATAGGTTACATATTTCTTCTGTAGTTATTTTATTTTAAGAATAACTACGAAAAATAGAAATGTTAACAACGTAGACATAACCTGTACTTGGATTGAAAGGTTAGCTTGCGCATGCGTTAAAAAGTTATATAGTTCACACCGAAGTGTTACAATTTTTTTATTACCCGTAATTCAAAAATTGAACCATTCTTGAAATGTAATTTTAGAATATTTTTTTCCACGTATATTTGAAATTCTTCAAGGAATTTAAAATTTATGTTATTCTAATGCAAAGAAATATTATTGTATCAAGCATTTAATTTAGAATTAACAATTTACCTTTAGCTCGACAAAGTCCGTCACCGAAGACTTTACAATAACACGACCAATTCAATATAATCCAATATCTCTACATAAAAATTACATAAAGACGTAGTTCTACGACGTAAAAGAGCAACGTCTCAAAACAAAACTATTATAGCAGTAATTAATGACTATAACATATCAATTTTATGATTCCAAATTCATCATAACAAGTTTCCATTATACAAAAATGTCCAAATAAAACAATTTTATCTGTCAATATTCACGGTATTATAATTTATTTTTATCGTTATAACAAACCTAATAAAGCAATCCGGTCAGTGATTAAGTACTTAGTGGAAATTAAACAGAAAAAAAAAATAATTAATGGATGTACGCTCTTTTCATAACAAGCGACGTCATCTGTGACATTGTATGTCATTTCAATGGCAAAGAGGTTACTTACCGTGGTACATGGTACGTAAATCATAAGGTGACTGCTACACTTAACATCCCAATAAACTCACACATTCAGTCTACTGAATACATATTTATACCTATTGTTCAACAGCTATTTATTTGATGATACAGCTGTTCTAATTTGAACGGTACTTAAAATTTTATTCGTCGTAAATAAATTAATTTTATTGTGCACCACGTGGTATAATGACCTAATAAACTTGGGCACAGAGGACGAACGATTCAATGAGAGCAATAATATTAGTGTTCGCATGTTAGAACAGATGTATAGTTTGCTTGTTTGTAGCATTTGTGGTTTATTAAAATTTTAACGATGGGTGAATTTTTAACGTCAACATTCATGCATATTAACATAATCCGGCTGCGTAACCACTGGGGTCTACATAATTGTCTTCTAATGTCACACTAAGTGGCTTGATGTCTACGGTTCATTATTGTATGTTACCTTAAATATTAAAAAAAAAAAAACAATTCTAATGACCTTATGTAACAAATTGATATATTATAAGTCAATTTGCAGACTCGTCAAGTATTATTGACGAAATATTACGCCGCTAGCCTAGACATCTACATGATAAATCTTATCTTCAAGTCTCATAACATAAAAAAGCGTCAATGAAAATAGTGCAATAATCTAAAACATACCAGTTTTATTCGTCTAATTTCAAAATATAGCCTATATTGTGATTAGACGTTACCAGTAAAAATTGACTTTCGCTCAGTTCAATTAGTGCAGCAGTGAAGAGTCGATAGATGCACAGACATAGGTCTGTCGCTCTGACGGCAATTTTACCCGCAGGTGGGAATGCCTACTTTCCTCCCTAGGAACGTAAATATCTACTACATTTATTTATGTCAAACTAAATAAAGGCCTTTTATTTCTTAAGGTAAGGTAAAAGCCCCAATAGATGATCACGTATCAGTATATGATCACTACATGTATTTGTATATTTATATTCACAAATACAGGTATACAAATACATGGAGTGATCATATACTGGTACATGATCATCTTGGGGCTTTTACCTTATAAATTCTCAGTATTAATATATCAGTCTAAAATAAACCACACGGATAATTAATCCATGCAAAATTGTTATAATTCTTTTGTTAATAATTGCTCGGCGGTCACATGTTTGTTGCTTTCTCATTAACAGATAATTACACTAAGTTTGTGATTTCATGTTTAGGTAACTTGAATATTCAAGAACCATTTAAAATAAAAACCTTGCACCTGGCTGGGTAAAGTAGACATGAGAGTAACTAACAGGTTTTAATGAAAGAACATACAATACCAATACAATAATTTATTAACTTATTATGATAAAATATAATATAAATCAATTAAACTTATATAAAGACCGTTGACACGCAAAATAATAGTTTCACTTTTTTTGCGATGTATTTCCATCATCCTCGTGCTTGCGCTTGCCGCTGTACGTCGCTGTTGACGAAACAAATGCAGAATTGTTATTGTTGTTATATCCTGACGCCGATGGTCCGTTATGTATTTTATTGTATTCACTTGGCTCTGCCAGCAAATAAGCTCGTAGCATCGGATAACGCTGACCCATTGACGAAGAATCCTGTAACAAAACGTCGATGAGTATCTTCAATTTGATTATTATCGATCGTCTGACTCACTCGTATCAACAAGTGATAAAACTATAATCGATAAGTAGGTTAAAGTCACCTTCATCGTTCACGAACTTGGTAAGGGTGACATTGTTTTTGTTGATTTCAAAATACTTGATACTTCAAATTTTAAGGTGGACAAACGTGTTCTACGCAGTTTTAACGAATTACATTGCTAACATAGAATAGCTAATATAGAATAGCATAAGTTGCTAATATAGAATAACATGATTTATTTAGGCACAAAATAGTTCGCTGCTCGACGAATCACTGAAAGCAATAGACGTTTTTATCAAGTACTAGCTTTTACCCGCGGCTTCGCTCGCATTGAAGCCATTAAATAAGTATAAGAGATCATTACTATAGAGATGAATCTTTTCAAACAATTTTTTTTATACTTCGTAGAAAATAATTTTTTTTTTTTGTATAAAAAGTATCCTATATTACTTCTAATACTTCCAAGACTATGTGAATAAAGTTTCATGATGATCAGTTAAGTAGTTTTCGCGTGAAAGCGTAACAAACGAACTTACATTCACATTTATAATATTAGTAGGGATTTTCCTCTCGACCCTCATCTTAAATAAGTAGAAAAACTACTTACTGGTTTCTGTCCGTACTTATTTTGCGATAAGTCCATCTCGATGGTCTCTTTTTCGGGAACTGTTGGACTGGAGAAAGTATCTGGAAGTAGATAGATACAATAAAATTCAGTTCCTGCATTAGTCACAAAGAATTTGGGTTCAGATAGAAAAAGTTTGGAAAGTTTAAAAGTGCACGCCTCATAACGCTTATTTAATTTTCAAGAAAAAAATAAATTGTATTACTGATTTATTCGTATTAAATGGATAATGTAGCAGTGCGGTAATTATAGATTTAACTATTTCGCGCCATTTTTATCTCTGATAAAACAAGTAGGGTACAAGCTCACACTAAAAAACAGATGGCTGAACGTCCATGTGTTGCTTACGTTATTCTTTATTTGCATATGTACATAATAGACACAACAAAGACTAGTTGATTATATCTTTTTATAAATTATAATTAAACGACACTAAATTAAACCGCCATTGGTAATAGAAAACTGCGCGCTGTAATTCTGAAGCTAAAAAAAAATCTCAAAATGTTAAGTTTTGCGGGCGTAATCGGGTTTTTTTACATCAAAAAAATATAAATGTCTCTTATAAATTTAAAATGAGTTAAAACGAGTATTTTTTCTTAACATCTACGTATTTATATTATTCTATAAGTGCAATATAAATAAAATAGAGACAAACCGGCGACGTTAGCCAAGTAGTCAAAGGCACGTGGCCTATAGAGCACTCGAACTAACTCACCGGCCAGGCGTGGGTTCGAATCCCAAGATGGTCTTAGAAACCAGCTTGGTTCAGATTTGATCCTTATGGCGTAGGTTAAAATTTTCACAACCCAAAAAGCATAGCAGTTAAAACCGATTCTTAATAAAGAAAAATTAGAGACATTTTTAGTTCAAAAAGTTGATAATTGAGTACTATCTACACTACTTCACGTTATAAGGCATGCAATACTGCAGTTGGTCAAATAATGCCATATCATTGGATGGGCTTAGACATAAAAATGAGTATATTATGTGGTGAAATTGCTTAGTCTTTACATTTCGTTACACTATACTATAAAATTAGTAAATTAAAGCTAGTGAAGAGTGAGAACAAGACTATAAAAATAAAAAATAGAATGCTACTTAGTAGTGAAAATTTTTCTGACCTATTTTGAAGACGTCCTCCTGAACAAATGCCAATGCAACACTGGTACAATATCGCCGCGTGAAAGCGAATTTAAAAATGAGACAGCGGTCAAACTGATAATTTTCTGCGATTACAGCCGTGCAGCAAAAACACATAAACCTGTCAGATTAAAATTAATAGTCGCTTCTTGAGCAAACAGCAAATTATTTTTCAGAAAAACAGTTTTTCTTTTTACAGTTCAACAGCTGACGTCACAGAAACTGTTTCGCTTACTTTGCGTAAACTTATTATTGTTGGTGTAGGTTTTATCGTTACTGCTTTAGTGAAGTGTAAAAATTTGGTTTATAGAACTATATCTGCCTTACTAAAATTTAATCGTAATGCATTACGTTGACTATGCGTTTTTTTCTGTCCTCTTGGCGGAAACTGGCAATTTTCTGGTCGCTGCGCTAAGCGAAAAATAATTTACCCCTGGACCTCTGCTTCGTCTCGGCCAACAAATACATTCGATCTGATACTTTACTTATTTTACTGACCTAGGTATATAATATACTATTTATATATAGACTTTAGTCAGTAAGTAAATATCTCATTCTTCAAAAATGTTTCTAATATTTAATAAGATTTATTTTGTCTAAAATATACTTAACGTTTTAAGCAGATTGATAACAAAATATTCACGTTCTAAAAACAAAATACTAAACCGGGTGGTCTTATAGCCTGTATCAATTACTCTCTCTTCCACTTTACGAGTATTTAGTCTATTAGTTAGACTAATTAAATATGTTATTTTAATATATGTTTCAGGTTAATAATACAAAGTAAACAGTTTTTTACAATATTCACGAATCATAAAGCTGGTGTTATAGTTTACTATCAGCACTTCCCTTGGTTCAGGAAATATGATATCCTGCAAATGCATCCTAACATCAAAGAGCACTTTGGGATAAAAATAGACTTCTGATGTTGCTCATTAATTATTCTAAGAGAGCAGAAATTGTGATGGTACCTTTTAATTCGTTCTAGATGTCATTCCTGGTCCCCTTTGTTCCATTCTGTACATATATACTAAAGTATGTACATATAATTAAAGTTATTTGAAATAAAACAAACACAGTTAATATATTTTCATTTTATTGCGTAATTATTATATTGTATGTTAAACAATCTTCACCTCTACATGCCCGACATTCAAATCCAGCGGTCACCTTAACCTTCGTTTAGTGTTTACAATTATAGTTGAAACAGATAGGAGATTAAACTGAAGTCTACGTTAGTAAGTACTATATGTTATCTTATAATTACCTACAGCGTCATGATACAAGCTCGTGATATTATCATAAAGAAACTAGCACACTAATCATCAGGCTTGTACAAAAGAAGAAACTCTTCGACAATAACAGTAGCTTCGTTGAGAGTAGAGTGTAATCTTCGTAGAAGACGATGCTGCTTAGCTTGCAAACTTTGGTCCGGTGGTACGACACGCGACGCCGCAGGGGAAACTTGTGGAGCGGCATAGTAAGACTCAGATAATGAATCAGGCTGAACGACTGGAGCGTAAGAAATGTTGACGTGGGTTGTTGTAGTTGATCCCTCTGTTGAAGTCCCTTTCTCTTCCGGAGAAGGAGTGCTGGGGTGGCTTAATTCGTCTTCTTGTTTCTTAGATAAGCTCAGCCGCTTGAAGAATTTAGATACTGTATTCTTTTTGTTTTTTGGCGATCTGCCGGATTGGTTACTTTGTCCACAGTCAGTCATTTTTTCTTGGTCAAAATCGATATAGGTGAAACTTGATGACCGACTGGTTTGGCTTTGTTCTGCTCCGGAACCTGTAAAAAATAAATTAATCAAAATTAGGTCAAGCTTCCTTGGTTAAGAATACTAATTGACCATTACGAAGGTCTTCAATACAACATGCTCGGTCGTTGGTTATTTGAAAACTGATTGGGGTAACCTAACTTCCTCGGAATTTATACTCTTTATACACAGATATCTAATTGTAAATAAATAGGCTCGAGTAGCACTTGAAATTCAATATAATCACCCCAGTTCTTGGTAATTGACAGACGTAAATTGTTTCAATCAAATATAAGAGTCCATCATTGACTCGGAATGCTAAGGCGTCGAAAAGCCGATAACATTCTACGTAATTTGTAACGGAAGCGGTAGCTGGAATTTTATACACGGTCTTCCAGAAATCGAAGGAGCATAAGGGGAGAAGTCAAGGTCGTGAAAAGTTTAGGTGGCTGGAATAATACTGAGAATAATTAATATAAATACAATTATTTTTTCAAAACTAATTAAACGAGTAAAATTCACAAATTATTTCTGACAATACTATTCTTAAATTTAACATACAATTAACTAGACAAATTTAACACTTTCTACGTTTTGGTTTGACTCTACACTCGAATGATGTTTGTTGTCCTGTAGGCGTTTTTATATCCTCTGGCGTGTGTGCTTCTCGAATTTTCCTATCATTATTCACGCTTCATTTTCCGGGAGACGGCGTTGGGGAATTTTATGATTCATGGGACCACAATTGATTGTCGATAATAATTCCGCGGAAAATATAATTTTCCCGGTTAAAAATTAACGCAATATGCATGAACAAGCGTCATAGTTTCCTTAACCTCTGAGGGACTTTGCATTTATTTATAACCACAGACCGATGAACCCATATTCTGTGTTTATAAACAATGGAGTCCATGTCTACCTTTACAGTTACTTAGAAGCTTTTGATACGCGCAAACAATTACTATGTCAAAGTATAAGTGTCTTGTTCCGTATGAGTGGCACAATTACTACCAGTCGAGTATAATAGAAGTAATCTTGAAGAAAGAGATAACATGCGACCACATCTCTAAAAAAGTCACTGGAATTGCAATCAAAGTTAACAGCGTGACGGCACACCTGAACTATTGGCGTGACTTTGTTTGGATGAAGAGAGATAAAGATAAAAATTCTTGGCCGCATAAAAATGAATATTTTGGTCTCTACATGCATTGTGACTGTAGTTACTGTGAACATAGTCTCCCGGGTCAAAAAATTTAATCTGTTTTACGATTAATGAAAATTTTTAATATTTTTAATTCTATTGAATTTTATTATGTGTATCTATTTTATATTAGAATTTAATCTGTTTTTGCCTGTACTATTCCCAATTCAGACCAGTTTCAAATCATTTTTGATGTTACAATAAAATTGTTTTATATTGTTTCAAGACCAAAATCAGACTTTTTTGTCACAATCATTTAGCTGGTTTTGATTGCATCAAGGTCAAAAACAGACCAAAACGTTCCATAATTTTTAGTCGGTTTTTCATCGCCTGTAGATCAAAAACCGACCTTTTACGAATTTGATAATAATAATATTAATAATAATAATATATTTATTTATTATTATTTTATTCATGTCCTCGAAGATCCTCTACAGGGCACGGCTTTTCATTCTCTGAAACTGAAATAGTGACCATTCACTATTTCGTTGTGCAATGTATACCAAACGGTATTCTTCGCACTACCAAACAGTGCATACAAATTAACTAGACTAAAAACCGATCAAACTTTTAAAACTTTTTAGTCTCATTAGATTAGAAACAGTATAAAATATTCATAGCTGCTCAATTATTTTACTAAAAAGTTATTTAGACTTAAAACCGATCAAAAATAATTTGAATAGTAGATCAAATACAGATGAAAATGTTTTTAAAAGTTCAAATACAGATCAATAAGTTCAAATGCAGATCATTTAGCTTAAAATCAGTTTAAATTTTTTGACCCGGGCTATAAGCATCCAATGCGATATTAATAAAATGTTTAATATTAGACATGTAGTGTGATAAGTATTGCGTAGTTTTTAGTTGCTAATTCGGCCGCAGTCTACGTTTTACTGTGCGACAAGTGACACAAAGCTCAAGTGTGCAGACAATTATCATGGAAACAATCCCTTATCAAGTTCTCTGCTGGATTCCTCGTGAATGGTTATCATTTCCGTGGGATGCGTTGCAAAAAGTGCTCAAAAAGGAAATTTCGGAATGTTACTCGGAGTGTGGAAGGGCTGAAAATTCTGCAATTTGTATTAACGGTATAACAGCGCGACTACAACTTCACAGTCAGTGTTTAACCGCTAGAAAAGAGATCTAGTCAAATACTTATAAGAAGAATTACGCCTTCGGGCTTAATCGTTGAAACTCGGGAATAATCGTATAAACTCGGGAATAATCGTATCACGCTATGGCCGTCGCTCATGCGCGCCTTGGTTAGCGGTAGAGAAGCCGGCTCGCGTGGTCTGATGCAACAGTTGTGCTTGGACTTCTGTACTAGTACGACTACTCTGTGCTAATCAATTCTGACAATTCTTACTTGCATCTCACATTCATTCAAATATTTAAATTATTCATTAAATATAAATAATTATAGTAGATTCAATTATACTCTAAATTCTCAATTCATTTAAATCAGTTTAATAGTTCAGTGAATTAACATAAATAAAATCAAGTAAATTTATTTCGTGACGCCACGCGGCCATTACGCGCCACCGTGACAAAGGATTACATCAGCCACGCGGCTTTAGTCAATCCAAAATCGACGCGTGATATTAACAATTAATTACATTAAATCAATTATTAACATTTAATTACGATCTCATTTAATTTAACTTATAAATAATTAAATTCAAATTTCAAATCATCTGACTAATTTCTACACGATAAACATCAAACTCAATTGACTAACATTCTGTTATCAACTGAATATTATTAGCTCTCGCCTTGAGACCATTTATTTAACTAATTAAACATTAGTAGCTCACACCTTGAGACAATTCATCTAATTAATTAAACATTATTAGCTCTCGCCTTGAGACAGTTCATCTAATTAATTACAAATTACTAGCTCCCGCCTTGGGACAGTACAAATTCAAATTATCGATAATTTTCTTTATACGGCGGCTGAGCTCACCCCTATTGCGTTATTGCAACGTAATTTTACACACACACACTTACACACATACAACTTACTTTTATAATTTTCAACAAAGAGGTTTTTTCCCAGCCTAGCTGGGTTTTCCTCCTTTGGGGACAAATAAATTCTTCTAAATTGTTCCCCAAAAAATCCAAGTATTTTTATTTAACTTCCTAATCCCAACTTCATCATATTTTTAAAACAATTACGAGAAATATCCGCATTGGATAGTTTTCGACAAAACAGTCAGATTTATTGGATGAAAAAAGAATTAGATGTGCAAACAAGACCAAATCTGAAGGATTACTTTGGGTTTTGCATACCTTGTATCTGTTGTAAGAAACTGTAAGTCATTTTTTCATTAGAAATTGTTAAAATAGACGCTCTAAAGCTATTAATAAAAATAAGACTAAATTGTATCGCTTTAAAATAAAGTTTCGACAATAAACATTGTTTTATTATTTCATTGCCTATTCAGGAAATCAACTGTATAAAATACACATCAGGTAAGCGACACACAGTTCTATCTCATTTGCAAATTTAACCTTGATCTTGATCTACGGTAATAGTCTTGCTTTGGACGGCAAGCGCGATAATATATTGACCTTGCGTAGCTATAGTCGTCGAGCACTAATAACTTACCATATGAGCAAAAATCGCTGAGTATTTTAAACACATTCGTTACTGCAATCAAACTCTTCTGCAGTCGACCCACGGATCCAAGTTCCAGTTTAGGAGGACAACTAGGATCAGGACATGTTGTGTACGACATAGCATTATAGAAACCTGTTTCCACTTCATCGTATGGAACGTTAGGTTTTTGCATATGAAGCAGCTCACATAATTTAATATCGCTTGTGTCAGCGCTAGCCGGATGGTACAATGGCGTACCTTTATGATGTGATGGTTGGACGTCTGATGAACACCTTCTATACCACTCACGGCGGACACTAAGGTAACCAAGATCGTCAGGATTACGATCAAAACACTTTGAGTGGCTAATTTTGATGGATTTTTTACAGAACCCTTAGCACGATTTAACTTTTCTGTAGACTTATTTTTAAGGCTCTAGCTGACAGCACGTTTATTTTTATCTTGATGATAATCACTCTCCTAATGCGTGTGGTGTCTCATAACGTCAGAAGACTAACTGGGAAAACTAATAATTTTTCACCAAAAATCTACGCAGTTTTTGTCGTAACTCAAAATCTTTTTTATGGGATAGGTCATGGTCATGGTCATTCTAAACTGGACTGTATTCTTCGCAGCGTACGGTTCTATTTACTTTATGGATTACCTTCAAGCAAAGCTAAGTAAACATTGGACCTAATAACGTTTTCAATAATTGAATAAATTATCATAATTTACGTATGATTAATTACATTCGGCTATTGACACCTGCTAATGCGAGCCACGTGGGTAACTATTTTCATTGGCATGAAGGACAAACGTTCGCGATCAATGTTAAGGCTAAACGTCAATCTTTGTTAAGGCGAAATGTCAACTATCTTTGAAGTTTAATTATTATTATTTGTTTCGATTTACCTCTAAAAAAATTTCAGCTCTGCGTTTTTGATAAATCCAATTCATCAACACGCCGGAAAAAATAGTTACTGCTTGGCACAATCACCAGTATGTTGAAAATACCCAAGATTCTTCAGCTAGCATATAAACGTTCCACCTCGACATCATAATGGATTCTTTGCCAAAACAAATCAGTACTATACTGTGATGACTTATCCGTGTAGTTCATTTGAATACGTCGTAAAAATGTTCTGATATTAGTTTAAGTGCCTTGCACTTTGTACTTTAATAAAAGTAGTATAATAAAAAATAAGAACGAGGGCACCATGAATAAAGGAGTCAAAGAACGTTTACTTTTCAAGAAGATTCAAGAATTTGGACCACAACTTACGAAAGATTGCAAAAGGATTCAAGCTGGCCAATTGTTCGAGTCCAAGACCAGATGGTAATCTTCCCACTCAGCTAACGGTAATTGGCAGTCGAAAATTCGGTCGAAGTTCTGCGCTAGCTTCTCCTCAGGCGGGTACGGCACTGTGATATTGTTATTTTCGTTCTTAATTCAAAATGTTGGCACTACTTTGTACGGACTCCGTCCTGAGTCTGGATCTTCGATTAAAATGACCACACAAAATTTTTTGCGGCAATCATCGTTCAGGTTGATCCAGTACAAGAGAGCAAAGTTAAATGTTGACTAGCTTCATTTAAGATATCCATATATACAGCTAAACAAATCAATTAAGACTGTGATGTCAGGGGTCGACATGATACAAAGTTCTACGTATATTTTGCATCCGGTTGAATGGTGTCGGTCATATTTATGCAGACTACCAAGTTTTTTATTTCTCAGAATAAGGTCTTGGCGTTATCTTTATTAATTATGTTGTTCATTTTGACGGATGTTATGAATAGCCGATGATAAGCCGGTATACATTGCTTTAAAAAGAATCCAATTTATTCAGTTTAATATGAACAAAGTAACGCGTTATTTTGAAAATCATAACAGAAAACGAGTTACTAGTCAATTTGATCAATAATCTTATACAAATTCTATGCTGATCATCATGGAGGGTGAAACGGAATGTTTTGTTTCCCTTGGTCGCCCCTTTTACTCTTAAGGGCGCCACTGGATTTTTGTTCTCAGTATCCAGACTGGACCAGAACATGGGAGTGCTAGGTCAGGGTCGTGAGAGATTTGCTGAAAGGAAACTAGGATTGAGACACAGAAATTCATTTAACAAAAATTATTTATTCATCCAATCCCTCTTACAATTGAAATATGGCCAGTATTACAATATATAAAATTTTATGGATACAAATCCACACTCACACTCACACTCATTCGGTATATTTCTCGCTGTCCAGCTAGACCCTCACGTGGTTGCAGTCCCCGATGTCTACTGGACTCTCACGGTACTCTATTTACTTCGCGCCGTCCCCTGGACCTCTAACGCTAATCTAACTTAGTTCGCGCGGTCTCACGGACTCTCACGCCACTGAGCTGGACCTCTGACGTGACTGCACACGTTGTCCACACAGCGCACGCTGTCCCCCAAACTTCACGCTACTCTAAGAGGACTACCCGAAGCTGGATAGCCTCTTTACTCTCACACAAACACACTCTAATCTAATTCCCCCATAAAATAATAATAATAACGTTTGAATTACAATTTACAAATAATTTCCAAAATATTATTTCCCTCATTAATATTTCTAAAATTCCGGCTTATCATTTTCCGAATTTCAAAATACAAATGACAAATTCCTATTACCTAAATCACTGCTGTATCTTCAGTTATTACAACAATAATTATCTAAATGACTCTTCCAAATTATCCAGGATTAAATCCATTTATTCTGTCCAAGAAATTTATTAAACAAATTTTAATTTTTATTTTAGCAAACTTAATTAAATTCCGGCAAATTGAGTAAACCTAAATCTTTTACATTATTTAATCTCATCCAAATTATTTTATTCCCAGCTATTTTATTTAATCCAATATCGGCGGTAATTTTACTAGATTTATTTTTCGATGCAGAAGTTAAATTTAGACATGAGATTATTCTATTGTAATTTATTTTGTGTTTTCTTAAAACTTGATATTTTATTTTACTCGAATTTATTTTATTTTGCGCCGAATAATTTATTAAAATAATTTTACTGTCGAATTAATTCCTGTCTTAAATAATTTGAATTTTACGGTTTACTCAATTCCATTTCTACTGGCTTAAACCAATTTATTGTCTATAAATTCTCAATTAAAACAATTTTACACATGGCAAAAATCTGGAATTAATAACCCGAACTAATGCCTAGTATTATCAACCCAGACATGCCTACGTGTAAAATAAGTCATGGCAAAGACACGTTAATTTCCCTAAATAAATTAATTAATAACCCGAAACCTGTCCTAGTATCATTAATTAATTGTTTTATAATTTCTCTAATTTTCATATTAAGTCTGATACTAAATTTGACACCAAATAAATAAACTATTTATGAACGATACTTAAAATGAGCTAACTAAATTATTAAACTAACGATTGTGACTGAGCACGAAATGGCGGTGACCTTCAGCCGACGTGTTTCCTAGCTGATGCCGCAGACTCGAGGAATAATTAAGACTCGTTATTTGTACCTGGAGTATTCTTATAAATTTAATCTGCACTCCAACAGTGAGCTGCAACTCCTCGTCTTCGGGTACTGGCGTGAATTTTCCCTCGGTCAGGTATTCTCGATTTGGCGGCAAACTCTCGTCACCATCGCTCGCTCTCTGGGTATTTATTACGCCTGTAACCGCAAATCAGCATTAGAAAATATTACAAATTAAAGTTAATTTACGCAAGCTGGCAGGCGGCCTAGCAAGCAACAAACTAACAAAATATTATCGCTTCGTTCCACGTTGGACAAGCAGAATAAAAATAATTACCTTAGCTGGATGTTTTATAAAAATTTGCGTACCGTCCAGTTGAGCCACTCAGTCACAATGAGTCTTACCGAATTTCGTTCGTTCTTCCTTGCTTCCTCCGCTCTCCCCACTACCACTACGCCGGCTTCTCCACCTCGGGGCCTTTCTCACTAGCTCTAAACGAGCTTTAGATCACAGCGCACTGTGAGCAGTCGATAAATGACTGGATACCGAAATAAGGGAATTACCGAGTAACGATCACTCTGTTACAAGGGTAACAGAAAAGTATACCGAATTTTGTATAAGGTTCGATTCACAATAAGACATGTATATATTATTAATTCATACCTTCTAAAAAGATAATCCTAATCTTAAATATTCTAAATTCAGAAGTGGTTTGTAACGTCTTTCGTCACAGCTTGGTCATTACCGCTTCGTTGCAGTACACTTTACACAAAGGATTCGTAGCAACGACATACACATTCTTTTTACTATAATTAGTCTAGTTTAAATTTTATTGTCCACATCTTACTACTAAATCTAAATTTTATCTTATTAATCAAATTTAAAAATCAATTAGCCAGTTAACATCAATCTTATACCTTTTCTATATCTTAATACTATTATAAGTAATCATTGTAATACTATTATGATTACTTATAATCATACACATTTCTTTTGTAATTAAAAATATCTTGCCACTCGGCCTGTGCCTTGACATCTATTATCAAATCAATATGAACTGAACTTGTCTGACAGTGACGTAGAATTCTGTGACTCATTTTTTGTCTAGCGAAGGGCTTAGTGACATCATTCTCATGTTATGGTAGTGTTTTATCACATAAACAAACTTTGTGATTAGTAATATGGAAATTCCCCAAACTACTTGATCGTTATCTTACGCCCACCTTCCAAAATATGTTTTCCCAAATAGCGTTGATGGGAAATTAACTGATATTTATAAGCAGCTCCAGTTTTTACGACTTTGTCGAATGAATGTCACTTAAAGTCCTAAAGCAAGCGACTTGGTAAACAATCTATAGTTGATCCGTAACACCTCCGATTTGACAGTTTAATGACCATAAATCTTGAACTTTATTTGAGTTGGCATCATATATAATTCAATTTTGTTCTTCGAAACAAATAATAGTTTAAATTATATGCAACGTTAAATGTGCCCAGCCGGGTTGGATGATCAAAAAGTCGTAAAACGGTGGAAATATATGCGCAAATATTAAATATTACAATGCAAATATCGGCTATAAAAAACAAGTTTGATTTGTGCCAAAAATTCGAGTTAGTTTTTAATGAAGTTATATTAAAAGCTCCTAATTGTTGCTAAGCACTCATTCCAAACAGATCGTGATGTTATTATCTTATTACGATCTATAATTCACGATACCTACTGCGAACAAGCAATAAAACTCTTTTTTAAGCTCTATTAAAGTCAAAACATTTATTATAATTGATAGATTTACGACTCACAAATTGGTGAATTTAAAGTAATAAATAATTAATATGTACCTAATAGGCGTTTTAAACATTCGATTTCATCATTTTGTGTTACAGTGAATACTTTGTTGTCTTACACACGGTATACATAGTCCAAGCTGTTTTTAATAAAAAGATTACGACATAATAACTTACTCTACTTACGAAGGTATCAAGTAATATGATATCTTGTACTTTTCGTCGATACACTGACAATGTAATCTGGCCAGGATTTGTCACCGAGGCTATTTCCGCTGAGTCTTTTCCGTCGGATGTTCGCTTCGTCCTTCGGTAACACTATTTCGTAAGTATACGCATCTATTGTCTCTCTGAATTAAAAAAGAGAATGAAAAAATTATATTTGGTTGCAATACGTTACTATTTTTGACTATTAGCGTCTTATCAGGACTTACGTTCCAGATATTTCCTCAAACAAATGCATGTCATCACTTTTGTTCTTCCGTGTAATTAATTCAGCAGGTATGCCGTTCACTTGCAAAATAGAGAAGACATTTTTGTTTTCTTTAATGATTTTTCTTGCCAAAGCGACCACTAGCATCTTTATGTCACTCAGAGGCCACCTCGACGGGACATAAATACCCTCTGTCAATTCTACGTAAATCAGTGATTTCTCCATTAGATACAAATGTTTCCACACTGATGAATCAATCAAAAGACTATCAACCAATCTGAGCTTTTAATAACAAATGAGTCTGAAAAAATTTTAGAAAGTTCGGAGACATTATCTAACTGGACAGACGCCTTTCCATCAAAAGATAATTTACTGTTAGTAATTCCACCCACGCTTATTTTATCAACATTGGAACGTGGATTTGAATTTTTTTTTTATTTAATAACCCAATAATAAAGAGCTTTTAATTTATATTTACATTACGGAAATATGGGATATATCGAAGTCAGTAACCTACTTTTAATAGCTTGCTGATTTATTTGATAACTTTTGTCTTGATTTATATGCATAGCAATATATTTACTTCTTCCTGGAGGTCTGCCTATTTATGCAAATAGTTTGTTTAATTTACAGAACGTGAGTAATATTTCAAATTGACAAATTTTAAATTTTAAATTTTAAATTGAAATTAATATTTCAAACATCTGCGCGCGATGAATTTATAATGTTAGGCATGTTGCCTACTTCCAACTTATCTCTATAAATAGCTAAGCTGCCTATACTGGACATCATTTCGTATCCGACATTCATTGATAACAAGCTCGTTTAGGTGTCCGTGTATCGCGGTGAAAAATGGCGAACCGGTATTTGTGCTACGTCCCAAAGGAGTGGAAGACTCTTCCCGAGGATACCCTAAAGAGTACCATTGAAGATAAGGCTCTCAAACAGTGGAAACATACTAAGTACCTGGAAGGGACCACCATCCGGCTGGAGAACGTCACTGCTAAATTAAACTACTACAGGTTTACACCGTGGATGCGGAAGGCAGATGATTCAAATGAATATCCTAGCGCTAATCAGTACTACGGAATTGAGATGAAGTGCATTCTTTGCACCAAATCGTAAGTAGACAATATTATTTTTCTACCTTGTTTTGGCTATGTTCAGTTATGAGCACTAGAAAATAGATAAGTAATATGTTACACTAAACCTAATTGTAAGCATGTGTTCAAATCGAGCACACACATTGATGACTTCTAAATTGTTATGGCTTTATGTCGTATACAGTTCTAATGGTTGCTTTTATTCCAGGTGTCGTAACAACAGTGATCATTGCTGTTCGAAAAACTAGCTTATACCATTACAGATCCTTTGAGACTGATATTCGTTGATATAGAAATTTACGCTCCTAGGAAGGAAAGTTGGACATTTCAAATCGCGTGTTAAATTGCCTCCCGAGACAAAGACGAGGGTGGCAAACAAGCGGATTGGGACATCCTACTTTTCTCGCTGGTGCGTGTAATATTTTTCATGATATTTGTAACCAAACGTTTTAATTTTGTGGGAAGGTTAGTGTAAATGTCAAGCTGTTTATTTGTATATGTTATTCCATAAGGTAAGAGTCGCATTTCCTTTCTGCAAAACAGGGAAGAAAGTTTTAATATTCGGTGTAGATATGATGAAAAATAGAGCATAGTTATCTTAGTTGAAGATATAGTCATAACGGTAGGTAGCATAAGAAGGTAGGTGGTATGCCTCAAGTTCGCAGCTTAAAACGGGTAAACACTATGAACAAAACGAATAGTGTTGAAACAACAGATGTAAATTTTAATACAATAAATATAACGTTACTAAGAACTGATGTTTTATTAATTCATTTAATTGTACAACACAACATTATTAGATAGAAGTAAAACTAGTCACGAATACATGAATGACACTCCTTAGCTAATTGATAACTCAGGGTCTGTTCTATTATTAATTGTTTGCCGTGGGTCATTTTTACAACTTGATGCTATTTTCACACCCCAAGTGTATGAAATAATATTTGCGCATATTTTATTTTTCTACTTTAGTATACATGACATAACATTGTGCAAACAAAATTATATACACTGCCTTTACTTGGTCTGTACGTCCGATATCAATAAAAGTTCCATCCATTCTCTTTTTTAAATTCCTTGATTAAATGAACGTATGAGGTGGACACTTTTGGATTTTGAAAAATGTTTTTGTCATTATCACAACACAGTTTTTTATCATTAACCATCATACATAACAAATGAACTAGGACTAAAAGTTAGTGAGATTCGTCCCAAACAGCCATCTTATGTCAGACCCTGGTTATATTGATTTAGAAAGTTTTCTGACGAAAGCGTGCGATGCATAGTGAGGCGCAGCAACTCTGACTGTTCAATGCGAAGATAGTACTAGAACAAAAAATCTGGAGTTAAAGCAAAATAAGGGTAAAGAGAAGGATACGCAAGAAACTGTGAGAGAGCTAACTAACTTCTAAAAAGGTGATTGGAAGCTCCGAGTCATCATGGAGCAGTCAGGTAGGAAATTATATCATCGGTTAGCCACATACAGCCGGAAAGTCCAATTTTCACAATTTCCTTCTTTTTGTCGTCCCAGTTGAACAGTTAGAACAGACATTACTGTCACAGCACAGCAGTTACTGAATGCAAGGCCACGAAGTTTCTGGTCATTTCCAATCACTAGAATGTATTTCCAGGCATGAAGTAGTAATTTTATGAGCTGCCTACTGTTTCAATTAGGACAAACTCTTCAGTTTAAAGAATCAATAAATGGCCTCTTGAGTCAGGCCAATCAATTGAAGAAACTATTTTGACACTTGATTGAATGCGGTCAATGATTTATTGCGGTAACATCACATTTGGGTCAAATATTCCACTTATGTCAGTTACGGACAATCAATCTCACAAATTGTCAGAATTTAGCGTATATTAACAGCATCAATTATTATAGTACGCACGTTCCTTCGTAAGTAGGTTACTATTAAAATAGACGTGTCTTATTTCCAGTTATCCTGCGAAATGCAATCAATTTCTGATCCTGTCTGATAAGACTTGCTTTCAACTCTGTACCTGATTTTTGCTTTTCCTATAGTACAGTAGCGATTTTTCTAGCTTCTTCCAACTTTTCTACAGTTCTGGATGGCTTAGTTGCTTTAAAATTGACAGAAACTTTCAGACTTTTCTCTTCAATTATATGGTTTTTAAGGGGTTTATTACCACTCATTATTTAATCTTTAACAGGGGGGATAAACTCAGGGGACTGTATAACATAAAACTGACTAAACTCATGGTTAGAATATTCAAAGTGCTAGTCTACAGCTCGAGTTATCACTGTTACGCATAACACTGTTTTGACGATTTATTTGTCCAAGCATGCTAACAAAATTATTAATTAGTATCTCTAATAGGCGCTAGTCTTATCGAACAAGGACGACTTTTACATTTTATCGCTTAGATAACTCGAACGTGCTTCAACGATCTTAAGACTATTGAACTTAGGGTCTTCATATCAGACAAATTGTGTACATTGTTTACATTGCTGCATTTTGTGCCGAGAGATAATGAAACTGGTGGTAAACATTAAACAGCCATTTATTAAATAAATTATATGAAATTAATACATTACATTATATTATATTATACTCTTATACAATGAGTAGCGGTTATATGCACAACAAAATATTTAAGTGAAGACTACTTCTTCTGATCCCGCAAAGATATGTAATTTTCAAGAATATTGGTAGCTTCATCAAAGTTCGCATGCAACTGCGATAGAAGCTTGAGCTTGGTGGCCCGTTCATTCGTGTTTAACGATTGATACGATGGCGCTGGAGTAAGCCAAAGAGATGATGGCTGGGAAAGACTACTTTTGCTTGAAGAAGAAGACTCTGGCAGATTCAAAAACGATTTGGTTAACTTTTCAGAATGCTTGTCTTCCTTGTGAGACGAATTCTTCGTCGGTGAAGAGTCTTTTTTTCCAGATCTTGTATCAGTCTTCTGAGAGCTAGAACTGGAACTGGCTCCTGGAGCTTCTTCACCGCGGTACCTCTTTATGGGACTAAGGCGCCGAATAAATCTTGTAACTGCATTTCCAGGAGCTTCCTTAGATTTCTCTGGTCGGCTACTAGATGCCTTGCGATCAGCCATTTCGAAGCTTTCACTCAGAAACGTTGGAACAACCAGGACCGGTCTCTTTTCTTCACTTGGTGACAGCGTATCTGCAAAATAAAATTTTTTAGAAGGGTTGATCTCCTTTGTCTGTCCTTGACTTGCCCTTAAATATAAATATCGTTGATTGGCAAGATAATTAAGAGTCTTACATTTTGGACGACGGTCGTCTGCGGACTGATGCTTATCCTGACGCAGCACGATATATACTCTCGAGATAATTGTATTCAATTGATCAGAATGGTTATGAGTACCACTTGAAATTCCGTCTTATTATCAGTGGACCTTGCTTATAAGTGCGTGGACTATTTCAATGAAGCCTAGTACCACAACTGTTTTCGTCGTAATATGTTAAATCATCATATTGCGTACGTTCCTATTAAGTGGAGCATGTTACCAATTAAAACTCTTCGATTTGTCATCGAGTTAGAGATTATAGCTAATTTTTACAGGGAAAACAAAATAGAGGGGACTGTGGTTTGCTTGAAAAGTACCGTAACAGTGTTGGAGCGTCACCAGAATCATATTTGGCTGAAAAGGGATAATGACGCTAGAACTAGTCCTTATCATAATGACTACATTGCTATACTCGTTTCTTGCATATTGCCAGGGCCGTAAGTGTCTTTTGTTAATATACGTCAATATTTCAACACCCAGATGTTATTTGTTTAAGACACTGACTTTTCTGCTCTTTCAGGAATATGTCATGCTGCTTGAGGATTTAAACTTGGCGAAAGAATCTAGCAGTCAGATAACCCAGTGGAACCATTCGAGTCAAGAGTGATACTAAGTTAACTCATCAAAAAAAATAACACGATACCAAATGGTACCTAATTATCGATTGTTTTAAAAAGTCAGCTGATAATATATGTAAACAACTGGCACTTGCAACATTATCTTTAATTTTAATCACTTGTTTCGCTTCACCTTAACAATCGGCAGACGCATTTTGTGTTACATAGCAAAGTCACGCTACGGCTTGTGTTAAACTCGTTCAACAAAAGCTGCTAGAGACTTGATAACGTTTATTTAAAGATGTCGTGCTACTGTCTTAAAAAACTGTGAGTACCACTTGCAAGCCACGGTTATGCTGTAAAGCCTAAGGATTTTGCACTTATCATGATTTATTTATTGTTTCAGCAAGGTATCTCATCCACAAGTCGTCATGGTCCCTCGCGAGTGGCTACAGAATGGAAAGTTGGAGTGCATCTTGTACAACGAAATAAAGTTTCATTACCGTAAATATGGAAAATGTGAAGGCCTCATAATCAAACTCACAGAAGTAAAGGCTTCCTTCGAACGTTACTCTAACTACCTGTGGGCCCGGAAGGATTTCGATTGGGCAACAGAACCAGATAAAAAATCCTACCTTGCTGTCTTCGTTCCTTGTGTCTACTGTTCTCAGCCCTAATTCTAAGGTATACGAACAAAATAATTTAGAATAAGTTTGAGTCACGATGGAGTATCCAAACCAATATCAATAGCAATCATTTATAAAATCGGCAATTTAAAAACAATTGTTATCAATTTCGACATCTCTTGACGACCTTTTTCATTCGTCCGTATGATGTACTCGTATCTTCAATTGTTAAACCTGAGTGGTTTGGATTTTTTATATACATCGGTCTCTGTTTCTAGCATAGAGGTAAATTGTTAATCTGCACCTTATGTCACTCGCTTATAAAGTTACACTAATTATTTACGGTTAAAAAAATAATATTATTCCCTTAATAAAGCAAATTCTAAAAGGTATGCATCTCATTTGGTCGCTTGTCTTTATTGTAACAAAATCCAATCAAAATTTTCCTTTGATTGTGATAATAATAATGTATTTTATAATCAAAGTTTAACTAAATTAAACTATTTGTATTGTTGAATAAATATTTTTAAAATTCTTGACAAAATAGAATTTACTTATTTAAATGATACGCATCTACATAAATCAGTTATCACTTTATTCCAATTCGCCCAACATATTTCTTCGACACTTGACAGATGGAACGCTTTTATTAACTCAACAAATTACTTTACGACTCTCAATATACACTAACAGTTAAAACGTATCAAAACAACATTTGATACACATCTTTATAGCCTAAACTGTCAGTCAGCGATCTACCACATGATCTACAGTGCGTAGTAGTTGACATTTGGACATGTTTACGTTGAAGTTGGTGATGCACTTGACCCACTAAAACATTATTAGCCGTGAATACGCAGTAGAAATGCGCGTCCATTAACCCTGCGTACGTCGCATGACATATATATCATCGGCAAACAATAGGCTAATTGTTTTAGGACTCTGACCTAAATTTGATGAATCATTTGATTAGAACTATCTGACGCTGGATTAAGACGATTCAATTCACGTTATGAGATTGACAGGAAGATGCTTTCTACTTACTATGACAACAGAGCAGGCCGCAGATTTGAAGATCACTTTTCCTCTGACTAACCAGCAGCATCAGTACTGTCCCTCCGTAATAATTCGACCCTTTAGTCTCCGATGGAACCAGAATTCGTGACCACCGACGGCGAGCTTGTAGGTGCTCAAAATCACTAGAAGCCTCCAGGTCACCAGGATAACCAGTTTCCAGATCGTTATCTATGTCAGACTCTCTCGGTACTTTTAATCCAATACACTTTAACTAGCTGAAGAACTGCTTCATTTTCGTTACGATCGTCATCCTATATTTCGTTAAACGATAAGACGTACACGTGTGTCACCGGAACAGGTCGCTTAGTCGACTAACAGCTCCTAGAACCCTCTTGAAAATAATCTGTTTTTTTGGTCTAGTTGGAAATCGGATCGATATTCATTGACACTTAGGAACACAAGACAGTCTGTTAGCATAGAAACAAAGCTCTTGGGCTTTCTAAGAATACCTACAAACCATGAGCTATTCCTAGTCTTTCAGAATCGAATAAATTTTGGATACAATGAACTAGAATTTCAGCTTAGCTATCAATCATTTTCAAAATAGGTGTTATTGTTTCTATTGACGTCAAAACTCAGCCACTAATAATGGTACTCATTCATATATGTTACAGTAAGTTCACTAGGCTAGCTAAAATGTTAAACAAACCGAGCTTTTGATCTTCCGAGCATTAATTATTTTTCTTAACATCAAAAATGTATGACTCGTTAGAAATAGGATTTTCAATTTCTGACCTAATTTGAAAATTTTTAAAGACCTAACCAACCTTTTTACGCCTTAGAATGTTACATCATGAATTAAAAGTGAATTGAGAAATTTTGTATGATGCGCTTGTGAATTTTTATTGAGAAAGTAATTTTTCACTTTGATCTTTGAATTGTAGTATGTATAAAAATACCACTTTATCTAGTTGCATCGATTCTAAGTGAGACGTCGACAAAGTTATAAAAGTGTTCGAAACGTTTAAACTTACCAGTCATTTAGGGTAGGTAAAACTATTCTGTGTAGTCAAGGAACAGTAATTCTTCTGGAATAAATTCATTTCTTCTAGTCTTGATGAATATCAACCCGTCGAGATAGGAATCTGCACAGAAAATAAAGCTTATTAGTCTATTTCACAATGACGACTGTTTATTTATATCTTCATAAAATAACTTACTTGTTAGATATTCTAAACTACCACTGCACTCTATCCATCTTGACTTAGGTTGGTTGCACTTCAAAATGTTTTCAAATTCCTCAAACACATCGTCCTTTGATGGATATTGCGCTAAAACCTTATTTTTATCTGTGTCCTTTACCCATTTAAATGGCACGACTTTATACGGATTAGTCCCATATGTCGAAATTACATCGAACTTAACAATAGCAAACTTTTTTGACGCATGATTGATCATCGCTGAAAGTTGAGATAAGACTGATGCGAAAAGCTCACAGATCGAAAACAAACGTAAGAAGGTATATTTATATATACGTATCGTTGATATATCGATGCAAATAAAAATTTGATCACACTTAGTAAACATTCAAAAGTTTAGAGTTTACTTCTATTTTACAAGGTACGATAAACACAGTAGGCGAAAGTCACTCTTCTTGTATAAAATCATCGATCAAAAACTATCTAAAGCTATAGATGTCAACTATATTTATTTTTGCGAAGATGAAACGATGTGAAACAATTTACATGAAGTCGTACTTATTTTGATTGACTGCCGCTTAATAGACACAATTATGAGCTATTTAAATCGCCGCGGCTGACAGTGTGGCGCCGAGTTGTTCCGAGAGAGATAAAATACTATACTAACGACCGGACCCCCCACGAGTGAAGTAATTAATCACTCCGCGGAAAAAGTATATATTCTAGTATATATTCTGGAATATATTCTGAAATATATTCCAGAATATATCCGAGAATATATTCCGAATATACCCCGTTTTGCCCGAGGAATATATTCCGGAATATATGGGCATGCACTCACTTGTATTCCGTTTTACTCAAAATTTTTCTCTGGTCTATAGTCTGGTCTGTCGTCAGATCTATAGTCTGATCCATCGTATATATACTGAATATATTCAGGTATATATAATTTTGAAATATATTCCTTGGGCAAAACGGGGTATATTCGGAATATATTCTCGGATATATTCTGGAATATATTTCAGAATATATTCCAGAATATATACTAGAATATATACTTTTTCCGTGGGGGACGTGTGGTGTAGTTCCATAGCTACTGATTATGATAATAAAAAAAATTGTTCAAATCTTATTAGTCACTCGCCTAACGCTCACATGTAAATTAAACTTAATTCTATTTATGTGACACAACTGTTTAGAGCACATGATTTTGGTAACCAATTCGATAAGGTAACTTATGTTTCGCATAAATATAGTTTATGTTAACTTGGTACATGTTTTTCAGGGGGGAAATAGGTGTTAATTTTTTTCAAAACTTTCCATTGAAATTTTTCTAAGAGAAATAAATAACATGTAAAAAAGGTGACGCCGTGCTCATTACGCGACCTACGAAGGGTTAAAGTTTTATCTTTACAAAAAAAATATGAAAAAATAAAAATTTCAGAATACGTTCTCAAATATTCACATAAAATTACCTTAAAATATTAACAAACAATAAAAAATTTTATGTGTTGAAAAATTCATGAAATTAGTATGAAAACGTCTTACACCTATTTCCTTCCTTACGGACGTGTTGGGAGATTTGTTTATCAAAGAAACTCACCTATCAGCACAGATGAAAATAAGATATTACTATAAAAATATGAAAATAGAATTTTCATAATCATAAAGATTTTATCATCTAAACACAACCTTGAGATTGTGTTGTAAATAACACTTTCAATATCGCGCTGAAATTGCATCGTGATGTATTTTTTCGCCTGATCGATATAGACCGTGTTTCTATAGTGATTTCGTATTGAGTGGTATACAAAGTAATAAACCTGCTTCGAACTTCGAAAGTTTAGGTATTTATAATTCTCTAAAAGCACAAAGTGTGGTAACTATATTGCAATTATATATCTACCTACTCTCAGCGTCTGTTGTCGTATTTATTAAATATTCTTCCATCCAAGCAAACAATGTGCCAATGCTTTTTCCCTCTTCTAAGAAGTTGGTAAAGTACAAGTCCATGCAATGAAGGCTTATATTTCTAGTTCATGTCACGAATAGATCACGAAATCAACCGAACCATCACGTTTGTAGCTAATGGTCAGATATTTCTTATCGCTTGTTGTAGAACCTGAACTTAAGAGTGATGACATGTAACTCATGACTTGAAAAATTCAAAACAATTGGAATGCATAATTACGTTAATTACTAATTGCATACGGTTAATCACTCAGGCTGATAACCCCCTTGGTGTCAACGTATGACAGTGTTTACATAACCCACTAACTTGTAACGGGTACTTTTTGACCAATTTTTACCCCCGGCTCGATTTTAAGCTTGCCGGAGTCCAGGATTCTAACGAGGGTGATTTCTAAATTAATCAAACTAGATATTTAATTGATATTAACAAAACAAAACCTCTTTATTTCAATAAACCAAAACATTAAACATTATACAAAGAAAAACGGCGAATAATCAAACTAAACCCATACATACACGGCGTTTACAATTTCTATTACCGTCGTCGGTAATATCATACTCCCGTCGCTTACAAAATCACGTCGCTAATTCCCCTCCGTCGGCCCTCTGGTGCCCAGCTCCTGACGGGTGACTAGAGCCGCCCCGCAGGCCCTACTTCGCGATTCCCAAGGGAAGAGTGAATAGAATCCACCTCTCCCCCACCTACTCGGCTGGGGTTGCCACCCTTTGGCTGAAGGCCTCCAGGTGGAGAGTCGCCTTTACTCGTAGGTAGATAAGTTCACTTACCTGTGGTAGTCCGCACCAGGTAGAGAGAACTCCCTTTTAATTCCTCTTCCAGAAGTCTCCAGAAGAAAAATTAAACCCAGAGAAAGGTTGCTCAACGGCGGATAATTTTTGGGCTTTATCAACCTAATATCAACCTATATCAACCCAAATCCCCGAAAATTTATGTTTTTAATTTAATTTTCAAAATTGAATATCAAATTCATTCAAACAATTCATCAGATTACATTAATTTCATCAAATTACATTTTCATCCAAATTCGACTTAGAAAAATAATTTCATACAAAAATAAATATTTTACCAAAATTATTTCCCATACTAATTAAATTTCTGGGACTTAGAAAAATAATTAATTGGATATTTCGAATTTATTCGAAATATTTTAATCACTTAATTATTTCAGATAAAGTAAATTTTTGTTCTTTCAAAGAATAAAAATTATCGTGACGCGGATTCGCTTATCTTAGCTCGGCGAGTTTGATCTGCAAGCGAACCGTTGACCCCATCTATCGCTCGGTGGCGAACTACTAAATTCATTTTTCTTTAAGACGTCGTTTAAAATAATTTTAAATAAAGAAATAATTAAACAAATAAAATCATATACAAATTATTATTATTTATAATAATAATCGTCGGAAACAAAAAATAAACGAAACTCAAAACGAAACTCGTTAAAGTAATTAGTTCAAATAATTATTCTAAACGACGTTTCGATAATTTAACAATTAATATTTTTAAACAATTAACAAAAATAATTAGACTCATAAACAAAAATAAACTTATATATCTTAAATAAACTAAACTTAAGAATCTAGTTAAGAATACTAGTAATTAGTTAACGAGTGGTCTCATTGTTTCTAGTTAGTTTATACTGATGTTTAGGTAAAAGGGTCAAGTAATTGGGAATTTTCTTGTGGAGATAGTGTAAAGAAAATGATGCGTTTTGACTAAAATTCTGCTAAGTGCTTCTATAGGGATTTGTTACGTTCCATCACTTTAAGTGAAATGTCCTAGCAAAAGTATGAGGGCCTATCACTTATTTTGACCTATTAAACATTGTAATTAGTTTCATGGGTCAAGGTATTGAATTACTTAGATGGATTTTATTGTTTTAGGAAATAAGAATCGAAAGTTTCTGAGTAAGGTAAAACCCCATTTATATTTGTGAATATAGATATACAAATACATGGAATGATCATATACTAGTACATGAGCATCTATTGGGGCTTTTGCCTTAAATAATTTATTTTTTGAACAAATTGTAAAAACATTGCCAAATCCTCATTCCGGGCTTTCTCGATGATCTTTTCCTTGGAGTAGTATTAATCGATGAGTGCTGAAGATATAAAATCTCCT